ACCCGCCTCGCACTTGACGGCCGCGAAGCGCGTGCCTGCCAGGCGCTTGGCGGGCGCGGCACCCGGCGCCCTCGGCGCGGGCTCCGGGGGGTCATAGGTGAAGGTGACCTTGATGCGGCCGGGCGTGGTGGGCAGGATGGGGATGCCGTGCGGGCCCAGGGGGAAGAACGGCTTGCCCTCCGCCACGGCGCCTGGCTGCGGGAGGAGGGCGGTGGGGTGCAGCGCGCCCAGCGGCACCGAGGCGTCGCCGGAGGGCTGCGCGGCGGGGGAGCAGCGCGCCGCCTCGGCGCCGGTGGGGGGCGACAGCGCTGTGGCATGGCCGGCGGTCGCGTCGCCCGGAGGGCTGCGAGCGCCGAGCGCCTGCTGGTGGGTCACCGCCGCCTCGACAGCCGTGAAGCGGCTGCGGCGCTTGGTGGCCCCGGCGGCGCGCAGGAAGTGCTTCTGAGCGTGGCTGGCCACCTGGGTGGGCGTGCGGCTTGGGACATACAGCAGGCTGATGTGCTTCCACTGACCCTGGGTGGAGGAGAAGGAGCGGAAGGGCGCATGAGTAGTGAAGGGGGGGCACAACACGGTGCGGCGCAGGGGGTGGTGGGGTGATGCTAACAACGGCACGGTGGCATGTCCAAGGGAGTGCAAATGTCAAGAGCCAGAAAAGTACTTCGATGTCAGTGTGTGGCAGGGACCGATCTGGCTGAGAACCGGGTTGGCCGCCCGGGAGGTCATTCTGTCCTCTCATATTCCGGCACCACCACTACCCGGCCGCGCTAGTGGGCACACACCCCGCCACCTTCCCCGTCGATACCTTCCCGAGCTGGCGCAGGCCTGCCAGAAAAGCAGCATGCTCTGTCTCAGACCATGGCTCGCCTGCCGAGGAGCAAGAAGGAAGCAGTGAGAGGTCCGGCACAGGGGAATCTGCATTACACCTTGTGCCGGCCTTTTAGGCTGCACAACACTCATACTCCCACCCCCCACCTTTTCGACACTCTTTGCGCCCGCCACCGTATCGCTGCTTCTCAGATCGAGCGAGTTCTTCGTTCAGGGTGAGGCGAGGTGGCAGCTCGAAACCGGCTAGCGGGGAAGCGCACATGCCTGCCGACCACACGGCCTGCGCCGACTAGAAGGTGCCTGCCGGCCCCGTTTGAAGCTCCAGACACAGCATGCGAGCTGTGTGATTTTTTCCAGTTACCGGGAGGTGCAGGCGACCAGTCGGGAGGTGTAGAAGTACGTACAGCTTGCGGCGCTCTCGACGACACGCTGGCCCTAGAGATCTTTTTAGATTTGTATTCACTGGCGGTGGCGAGACATCAGATCTCAGGGCGGCCTCAACGCGAGGTGATGGTTTGTAGGCGGAAAATTTGCGCTCCACGTAGTCGTACACCAAGAAGAGGGAATTGACAGTCCTTACTGCGGTGTGCGCACGTGCTGCCTCGAGGAGGCGGGCAACCTGACGCTGGTCCGGCCGGCAAAGGAAAATCCGAAAATGTAGGGTTCAGAGCGAAAACTCGCCACCGGCTTTGTGTGGAGGAATAGGTTCCCAGGACTGTACGGAGACGTCCCTTTCCCTCCACACCGGATTCCTTTCACCCTGCCAGGTGATACTTGCCAAAGCCAAGGAGCCTTTGGGCCAGTGGTATTGAGTGGTCCCATCCCCTTTGACTGCGCAAACAGCACAGAATCTTGGGCGCCAATAAAGGTACCGAACACTCGACAGCAATGTTACACGACTTTCATCGGCGGCTACGCAGGCAGAGGCCTCCTGGTCTCCAGAGCAGCCTCTGATCCTGGGATTGCCGCCGCCTGTCCATTGCCAGCCCCGGCGCGCTTTGCCGCCCCCTGCTCGGCCGTGAGTGGCAGCCAGTACAGGCTGGGCTTGGCGGCAGTGCGCCTGAACAGGTCGTCCAGCTGCAGCGGCTCCCCGGGTTCATCCTGTGCCTACAGGGGACGGAAGTTAGTGGTAGGGTTTGTGTTGAGGGTCAGAATGCATATGGTCGACTTCAAGCACAGCACCCCTGCCTGGATACCCCTGAGCCCCTCTTGAGGATTCCAGGGCCATGCATCAATGCACAGCCTCCCTGAGCAAGCACACCACCGCGCCAGGCCTTGCATCGCCTCGCACCTGTGCCGGTGGTGGGCGGGCATCGGCCACCCGATGAGCGCCGGGCGCCGCTGGCGCCGCGTCGCCACCAGCACCAGGACCCCGCCTCGCGGCCTCACCGCCGTCGCTGCTCCTGCGCTGGAGCAGCTCCCGCAGGTCCCGCACGCCCTCCAGCGGCCCGGCCGCCGCGCCCCTCGGGCCGGCCTCCAGCTTCTCACGGTCCCAGGGTCGCACGGGCGCCGCCCTCGTGCCCTCGCGCGCAGCCGCTGCGGCGGGGGCCGCTGCGGCGGCGACGGCCTCAGCCGCGGCGGGCGAGGCCGCCGCCTCGGCCTCCTCCGCCTCCTCCTCGCCGTCTTCCGGCAGCCGCTCCACCGAAAGTCGGGATTCCCCGCGCCCTGGCCGATGGCGCGCTCCGCCTCGCGCAGCGCGACGTGGCGCGGCGCCAGGGTCTTGGGGCTGGCGGCGGGCCAGGTCAGCCCGGCGGTGGCCGCCAGCGCGGCGGCGGCCGCCGCCTTGCTCGCAAACACCGAGTAGCAGTGCGTCTTGATGCTGGGCATCCACAGCGCCTTCAGCTCCGCGCCGGTGGGGTCCAGCAGCTCGCGCACCGCACGCTCCGTGAAGGGGCGCACGAAGCCATCGATACGCAGCGCGCGCGTCGTGCTGGCAGTGACCACGCCCTCGGCAGCCGGTCGTTCGGCGCGAGGCGCCTTTTGCAGGGGGGCAGCGGCGGCGGCGGGCGCGTCATCGTCGCCACGCGGCCGCTTCCCGCTTGTTGGGACGGTGCCGGGGCTGGCGCCGGCCGCGGCAGCGCCCTTTGTGCGGACGCTGGTCGCCGCCGCCGCCGCCGCAGCGGCCTCGGCCTCCTCCTCGCCGTAGTCGAGGTCCACCACCTCCTCTACGAGCGATGCGGCGGTAGGGGCCTCAGGCTTCCCAGCCGGGCTCGCTGCCTCGGGCACAGGGTCCTCTTTCGACTCCCTCTCACTGGCGCCAGCCACCGCAGGCGTCTCCGACCCCGCTCCAGGCGCAGCCGGCGCCTCTGCCCCGTCTCCATTGGCCACCGGCCCACTCTCCTCGTCTGCGGCCACGGCCTCCTCCGCGCCCGCCCCTCCATCCTGTCCTGCCACCGCAGCGCCCGACCTGTCTTCGCTGTGCATGCTGCCATCGCCCTTGGCCGGGCTGCCATGGCCGGAGCTCTCCACGGGCACAGCCTCGTCATCGCTACTGGTGAAGCGAGACTCACTGCCGCCATCCTTTCTGTCGGCGTTATCGTCCTGGGAGGCCTCGTCAGCTGCTGCATCCTTCATATCCTCGTCCTGTGGCTCGGCCCCTTCGTCTGCGCTCTTCCCGTCAGAGGCGGCATCAGCACCCTGGGCCAGCACAGGGGAAATGGGGTGAATCATACAACTATATCTCCGTGCCACTCTCCACCAAAGCTACTGAGAAAGCGCACGCAGCAGTTATGTCTCTAAAGCTGTACTTATCATCATCTCGAGAGCGGAGATTCCCGCGTAGGCACTGCACGCAGCCTGTCCATAAGCACAGCCATCCAGCGCGCCCATCACCCCACCTCGGCTTCTTTGAGGAATTCCTCCAAGCGCTCGATCAGCTCAGCTTTCTTTCCAGTCACATGTAGATCTCGCTTTTTCAGCTCGTCCTTCAGCTTGGCAACGGTCAGCTCGTGTACCCAGTCAGTTGACATGGTGCCTCTCGGTGGGGTGCCTCCACGACCCAGCACAGGGGAGGAGTCGCTTTCTGAACGTCCAGAGGGGGATTTGTTTTCGCGATGGAAGCGACCAAGCAATCAATTGCAGCTCTGACGGGCGTCGGGTGGGCCTACAGGCACCCATCGTGCCTGGGGCCTGCTCGCGATGCCATCTCAGCACAGCAGAGTTTTCCGGGGACGAACTCTGCAGCCTCCACCCCCCAGCTTGGGTGGCTTTAGCCCCTGGTGCTGCCTGATCATCTCCTTTTCGACGTGAGGACGGCTAATTGTTAGCCGAGCGTCGACGAAGCAACCATGCAGATCTTCGTGAACACCGGTGAGTGACTGGCCAAGACTGGCGGTCCCGCTGCCGTCCTCCGCCTGTGCGTGCCCTGCTTGCCCACTTTCGACCACTTACTTTTTAACCACCTCTTCATCACCTCCTCTGACAGACCGCACTCATGTGCTGGAGCTTGGCTCCGGCGCGACGGTCGCCGACGTGAAGGCCGCCATCGAGGCGCGCCAGGGTACGTATGGAGCGAGTGCAGGTTACGCGCCGCGAGGCTGGGGCTCCTGTTCGCCAGCAGCTTCAAGGAGATGTCCACAGTGTGCGAAAACGTCCGTCCCTCCTCCCTCACAGGAGTGTGCGCTGCGGAGCAGCGCGTGCTGTTCGGCGGGCACCAGCTGGAGGATGGGACCGTCCTGTCCGAGGCTGGCGTCAGCGACGACTCCCAGATGTACGTCTCCCTGCGCCTGCTGGGTGGTGCCAAGAAGAGGAAGAAGAAGACCTACACCAAGCCCAAGAAGCAGAAGCACAAGCACAAGAAGATCAAGCTGAGGGTGCTCAAGTTCTACAAGGTCTCGGATTCCGGTAAGGTGGAGCGTCTGCGCAAGGTGTGCCCCACCTGCGGCCCAGGCATCTTCATGGCCACCCACTTCAACCGCGTGTACTGCGGCAAGTGCCACCTCACCTACGTCTACAACAAGGACGAGGAGACCGCTTGATTGCCCGGTGACCCTCGGCCAATGGTGTAAACGACGGTTGGCAGATGGCAGGAAGAATACAGTTTTGAACAGGCAGCAGCGCAAAAGGGGCTGCAGAGTGTGAATGGAAAGGCTAGGAGCTGGGGGGGGGTGTTGTATTTTTGTGCCCCAGCCGTGGTCTCCGCAGGGTGTCGGGAACTTTTGGGGAGTCACTCCTCTCCGTTGCCACAGCAGCAACGCATGCACGACTGCGGGAGAGTGACGCAGAACCTCGACATGGGTTGGTGGAAGGAAGATCCGCGCTAACATGGTGCAGTGGCGATATGATAATTGACGCTAGCTTGTACTCTAAACACCCCGGCCTCTCGAAGCCGTGATGGGGATCCCTGCGGCCCTGGGGAGCATGATCCAGTCGCTCAGCACATATCAATTGGCATGGGGAATGATCGCCATGGCAGGGTTGGCCGCGGCGTTGCTCTTGGGAGGAATCGTGGCGCCGTACGGCAGGTGAATTCGTGAGCCGGGCAAGCCCCTGCCCTCACTGGCGCATCCTGGCCGGTCACAGTATCCCCAAGACCACAGTGGTCCACACAAACTTCCCATCACAGGTACAGCAGCTCTGCATGGGGTCCTCTCATTCCTCCTCGGCTGGCATGGCTGGTGAGTGCTTTCTGATGTACATGTGTGAGCTTCTCTGCTGGTCATGAAGGGGCAACATCCTGTAACCTGCAGCCCATTTACCGTCATGCTCCTGACCTCCACTTGAGGAAGACCACAGGTGGCTTCAGATCAGCCTTACGTCCCCCATGCAGACGCAGGAGATCTTGAGCCTGGCCATCCCGGTGGTCTGGCTGGCGGCATTTGCCACCCAGGAGCAGCGGGCGAGGGTATCCGACCCCGTGAACGCGGTCCTCATGGCCATGTTCCTCGTGCACTACATACACCGGGACCTCATCTATCCCTTCCGCATTGTGCCGGGTGGGTGCGGACCCGGGTCCTCCCGGGCCCCACGGGGTCCCATTGGCTCGCCCTGAGAAAGTTGCAGCAGGGATTGATCACCCCCCCGCAGCCATGATGATGAGGATGAGCGCATGCCGCCATACCCCAACCCCTGGCCCCCACTTGCAGGCAAAGGCACCCCACTGGCTGTCTGGTCCATGGCCGCAGGCTTCTGTGCGTACAACGGCTACCTTCAGGTGCTAGTAACTCTGTATGTGTGATGGCCAGTGCTCATTCTCTACCCTGCCGCGTCCCTGGTCCCAGCAGGACCACACTCTCCTCCCACGCGCAACCCCAATTCTCCACCCAGACCCGCTACCTCCTAGAGGAGGCGGCGATGGGGCGCGCCATCAGCCCCACCTTCCTGCTGGGCGCCGCGCTTTGGGCGCTGGGCTGGGGCATAAATCTCCACTCCGACACGGTGCTCATCCGACAGCGTGGGGGGCGCAGGAAGGGCTACTCCATCCCGCAGGGCGGCCTGTTTGCCCTCGTGTCCGCCGCCAACTACTTTGGTGAGGTGGTGGAGTGGCTGGGGTGGGCCCTGGCCTGCCGCTCCCTGCCCGCCACAGCGTTCGCCCTGTTCACCATCGCCAACCTAGTCCCAAGGTGTGGGGGGGCGAGGAATGGAAGGGGGAAAGGAGAGTGGCGGTCGTCAACGTCAGGCATGCACAG